GCTGTAAACAAAAAGGCTATGAACATTTCATCCAGAAAATATAACAGGAATCTAAAACATTGAAGGGCCTTTTACTACAGTTTATTAATAAAAACTCATATTACAAGTTGGGGTAACGACCAGAGGGTCATCAGTTATTAACTTCACGGTCCTCATGTTTATCGTTTATTGTAATTATAGTTTGTCACAGCAACATTTGACACAAACTGTTAGAAAATTATTTCTAACATGTAGACAACATGTCAATGACACGTGTCTTGCGCTTTGTTTGTGTGTTGTTAACGTGTTGTCTTCGCTTTTCAATCTGTCACATTATGGCAGGCCAAGGAGACTCTATTCGCATCTAAGAATCACGTTAAGGATGAAATTCTCCTGCTAAAATCACCCATTTTTTCCGAAATTTTACCCCTTTTTTCGTCTTCTTTTACCAACAAGCGCCGCTTTTTACGTCCTTCTCGATTAGGTGCCGGGGCGTGCCAATTTTAAAAAACGAGGAACAACTACAATGGACAACTACGACGAAAGGTTAATCTGTCTTTTTTGCCAACTCCATTAACAGAACCTGTTCTTCTTCGATGTCTAGCAACTCTTGATCCATTTCCTTGACCGTGATATCTTGCAGACGTGCCATTGTTGTTTTGGACGCCGCTGCCGAAGTTCTTACAAGTTCTCGAATAGGCTCCCCCTTGCTCTTTGGCGGGAATCTGCTGTGCATTGCTAGAAAAATTCCAGACTGACGGTGCAGAGGCATACCAGCAAAACTGCTTCACTATCAGACCCAAGCGACATTTGATGTGTACGGTGGCAGAAGTATAATTTGGCCTAAAGACGTGCTTAGTATGACGACAAAACAAGCGTTCCTGATGCAAGTCATTACCCAGACAACAGGTGTTTTCCTGATATGATAATAATGTCCTTCCTTCTTTTCCGACAGTCAGTGCATTTGAAGTGGTTGCGTCCAATCACTGATCAAGGCAGAAAGACCAACATGCTTCAGCACAGATCTGCTTTGTGTAAAACTTTGACAGAGCTCTGTGTGGCAATGTTGCCAAAGTTCACTGCATTGTCGTTTCACAAAGCCTTAATTTTAGGAACATAACCTTTACATGCACTTTGATGTTATTTTGAATCCATGTCCATGCATTCTTTCATGTAAAAACGTTTTTCATCGACATGCATTGCTAACTAATGTTTTGTGCTTTACAGATATTACTTGCAACTTATTATTTATACATATGTGATATATGTGAACATTTTTAATTTAATCAGTTAATGGGTGTCATATATATGTAAATGGTAAAATTAATGTTTCTGCGAGAATTTGTTCTTTTATATTCATGACATTTGTTTGTATTTGTTATACATTTCAGTCTTTAAAAATTCAGAACTTAATAAAATCTGTCTTCATCATTTCTAAACGTTAAATCAGATGTTATTATCCAACAATAACTTTAGAAACTTTTTACCAAATAGCCTACTCTTTACTTGAGTAATTTCTTGGATGACTACAGTTTACTTTTATTAGAGTGAAAAAATTAGCAGTTCTTAGCGGTTCTCTACCCACTTCTGTCTTTCAGATATATCAGGGCTTCTTATACTAAATGTCCAAAGCTCCAAATCAAATGTCCAGATAAGGTCAAAGGTCAAGAATCACAAACAAGCTTTATTACTTTTATTATAAATTAGGCCAAAAGCTGTATTTTGTGTGTGTTTCTATAAGCTGATTCCAGTCTCACTGCAAATAATAATGAGCCTGTTTTTTTTTAACATAGATTTAAAATTGACTCTACTTTTTTACATCTTAACAAATGAAGACCTGTTCTTGTCAAACAGGAAAAGATATGAAGTAAAAATAACTTAAAATGCAAGTAAATCTGAAGTAAACTCAGAGACATCAACACTGTAAAAACAAAATGTTATTTAATTTTTTTGTCTTTTTAAAATGTATTGAATTACAGATATTTCACAACAAATCATGAGAATGCAAACAATTATGATAGAAATTATTTTTTTAATAAATCATATAAAATTATATTTTTAAGGGAACTGTTCTGTTTTCTTTATGAAAAAACAGAAAAGTAGAAACAGCTTTAATATAATTTAACAAACATTGACTATTCCTAAGCTAAACTAAAGTTCATAAGCCATGTTTACTAATGTTCCCCCATTAATGAATTTCTGAATTTATATAAAAAATCATCTGAATAAACTTTCAATCATGTTATTCAATAAATAAAAGTGATTAAGAATAATGAATTAAATTATAATGCTGAATGAATTTTAACATCTTAAATGATCTAAAAAGTGTGGTTAGCATCTACATCCTTATTCAGTAAATTAGATTATGTGTTTTCTTTGCAATAAATTTACTTTTGGAAAAAAAAAATCCTTATAAACCAGCAATGAGCTTACTTTTAATTATATTCTGATGTAATAAACAGGTCTTTATAATGAATGAGTCTGGGGCAGAACTCTGCAGAACCAGAACTCTGTAGAATCTTTTTTTGAGTTCTTTTTAATATTCTCTGATTATGTCTTTGGTCAGAATCTCCCAGATTTTGTCACGCATTTTAGGGTCTTTGCTTCTTTTCAAGGTCTACTCCAGCTCGTTGATGCTTGTCTGTCAATACTCTGATTCTACTTGTTGGGATCTGGAGGCTTGTCTACCTTTCTCCACCAGAGGGCGCCTGAGATCTTCCTCCTGAGGGCGTGAGCTGACTTCTACACACCTGTTTCCCATCTGCTCATCATGAGGCCTTCTTAAGGAGGAGGAGGCTGACACTTCCCTGCCAGAGTGTTTGCCAGTAATGGTACCAGCAAAACCTGAGCCAGCTTCTCTGATTTGTTTTTTCTGATTTTTTGTGAACTAGTCTGCCCCTGTGTTCTTCTGCCTCTCAGATCCTGACTTATCTGGATATCAGTTAAATCCTGGAGAAAACAATCGCTGCCTGGAACCTGCCTGTCTGCCCTCCGCCTCAGCCTCCGTCTCTGCCTCTGCCCTCAGCTTGCCGACCAGCCTCTGGACCCACAAGGTTCCCCCCCTGCTGATCAGAATACCCTCTGAGCAGGTATTAATCCAAGCCGTCGTTAAACTGCAAGTTTCCTGGATCAACTCCAACCGATCTGTCCTCCTCAGTTGCTTTCCTCCCGTGACCAGTCTGACGAGCCAATACCCCGTTCACATTTCACTGTAAACTTTGTAAATAAACCATTTAACTTTTTCCCTGTCTGCTGAGTGTTTCTGCATGTGGGTTAGACGCTTAGACACCAACATGACACTACTGAAATCTTTGCCGCCATCATGTGGTACTCAATAGACCTGGAATTATCATTTCTATTGTAGAATAAATATTTAGCCTGACAGTTGTAAAGCATCAGTTCTTTTCTAAAACCAGGTCTTTTCTATTCAGCATCTCTCTGTAAATCTGGTCAGCTTTCTCTTTATCGACCTTTGCATATAAATTAGCTATAGTTATATAATTTTTAAGATCAGATATTAAGGCAAATAATGTAAAATGTTAAGCATGTGCGTGAAGAGTATGTCAAGAACCGAGGACAGATGGACCCAGTATTCAAGGCGAGACAGTCAGTAGGAAAGTTCAAACGTTTATTAAATAAAACAAAACTAAAGTGGAGCTGTGGCACGCGGACACTGCAGGCGGGGGGGC